AGTTGTATGATCCCTCATGCCTGCCTGCCTGCCCGCAACTGTATCTTTTATTTAATTTTTTATGTTTTTGAGAATTTCATACATGAGCACTATATTTTTTATCATTTCCACCCTTCTCAAGCATCTATCCAACTCTTCCTATGTCCTCCCCACCCCCTCAAATTTATGACCTCTTCCTTATTCTCTTACTCTCTCTGTCTCTCTGTCTCTGTCTGTCTCTCTCTCTGTGTCTCTGTCTCTCTCTCTGTAACCTAATGGATCCATTTAGTGTTGCTTGTATGTACATGTGCTTAGTGTTGACCAGTTGGGATTGAATAACCCATCAGGGGCTTGTCTGTCGCGAAGACTGAGTCTCCCTAAGCCACTGATTATAACTCTTCATCTAGGAATGTGTCCTTGTGACATTTCCCCCACCCACACCAGCATGTCCTAGTGTCCTTGTGAGAATCTCATTTAGACAACAGTCTAGAGGTTTTGTGGGTGCCGTTGTCATAGTGAGAAGACACTCTCACAGCAGGCGTCCTGGTCCTCTGGCTCTTCTGATCCTCTCTTCTAAGATGTGTCCTGATCCTGAGGTGTAGAGATTGAACTGTCTGTCCATGGACCAATTGAGGCTGGACACTGCACAGTCACTGACTCTTTGCATTTTGACCCACTGTGGATCTCTGTAACAGTCTTTGATGAGGGGTGAGAGCTACACACGCCCAGGGGTAGAAAGGTAAGAATTTAGAGTGCAGTCCAGAATTATGCTGGTCTAGTAAAGTGGTGGTAGTAGGTTGGCTTCTAAGCTCTATGGCCTCACTAACCATGTGCAATTGGCTAGGTTTCTAGTACCAGGGTTGGTTTCTGTCCTGCTGAGAAGGCCTTAAAGTCCAACTAGACAGCTGTTGGCTATCATCAAGACATAATTGCCACTACTACACGTTTAGGGTATTGATCTTACCAATGCTGCTGATGGTGTGGTTCTTAGGCTTCGGAGCTGGTTAATCATTGGTTTGATTCCCTGCTTGGTGACATACATAGCTCCTTCTAGGACTATGAAAGTTAGTCCTCATAGGTCAGATCCAGCCTGGATCTTCTGAGTCCTGTGTCTGAAGTGTCTAGTGTCTTCAGCAATAGGAACATGTCTTCAATCCCTGAGTGACAGCCAAAAGCAATAGCAATAATCTATATTGTTTTGGCAGTCTCTTTGACTCCCCTGACCAACAATGTGAAGGAGTGGAGTGTTTTATGCCTAGAACTGGAGTTTTTATTAGGTAATTTATGGCTCTGGAGGGTAGAATTGTTAGCACAAGTAGCATAACTTCATTTCAACTATATATATGCGTAATATATACATATATATATATTTACATGAATATATTTACATATATCTATGTAAATTATATATACAACTATATATACATAATTCATTTGTATTATATATAATTTTAAGTAAATAAAAAATATGATTCCTTACAGTGTTTTCAAAGATCCTTATTTCTCTCTCCTCCCCTTTCCTTCCCCTAATCAAAGTACCCCATTTCTTTTTTTTATATCACTTATATATTGCTATTTCCCTCTCTAGTGCTCTTTAGACAACAGTCTTGCTGTGTAGGTTGTGTTAGCTCATATGTAGCCCAGACTGACTTCAAACTTACAATCCCTAGGAGTCCCTAGTATGTACCACCAAGTTTTACTCCAAGCTCTTCTTAGGTGCCTGAACACTGTAGTAACTTTACTTCCCTGAAAATGATAGGATATAAAAAAAATAAAAAGTTTGGGGACCAGAGAGATGGCTCAGTGGTTAAGAGTGCTTGCTGCTCTTACAGAGATCCTGAGTTCAGTTCCCATCCCTCATAGCTATCTAGAGCTCCAGCTCTGGGCACCTTTACACAGATGCGTGTGTATGCATGTACACACACACACACACACACACACACACACAAGTTAAACAAGCAATCTTAAGAAGGAGGATTTAGATCATATTCCCCCATTTCCTGTTTAACTCCTCACCAGACCCCCCACCCATCTACCTCCCAATTTCATGTCCTCTTTTATTATTACTAATTGCCTGGGTCAATTATCACTGACCCTTATATGCATGAGTGTGGGGTCACCCAGTGGGGTATGGGCAACCTACCAGTAGCCATAGCCACAAAGAGAAGTGACATGGTATACATGTATGAAAAATGACATACTATACATGTATGAAATTTTATTCATGGTGTCTGCAAATAAAATTTTATGATCTATTAAAGAGAGTTTAGGAGAGGGGAGGATGCTGAAAGCAGGGTGTCAGTCTCTCTGGCAGAAACTAAGTCAGACAAGATGTCCAAAAACAGATGTTAGAACTCCGCCGGCAAAACTAAACAAAATCCATCCCTCACTGGTGCACTTTAATAAAAGGGTGTCTCACCATACACATTTCTTTGGGTGATACTTTCCACTGTGGTGACTTCAGGTTATCCGTAAAATCAATTTACTTTCAGTAATATCACTGAAGGAAAAAAATATTACCTAAAATGTTGTGTAAAAACTGATGTTTGTAGCTTTAGTTTCTGTGGACCCTTTGTCCAGGATGGTGGCAGGTGTTGGAGAGAATTATCTGCTCTCGCCAGTTCAAGTAAGATATCACTCATAGAGAAGAAGACACTGGAGTCCTAGCCCTGACCCACTGAATCAGAATTCACATTTGGACAAAGTCCCTTGATATCCCCAACCAAGTTTTAAGGGGCCAGGCCTCACTGCATCAATGCAGCCCCCACCTCCGACTTGGCTGCCAACTTCTATTTGTAAGACAGGAGTGTCTGTGATACACATTAGAAAGATCCCACATCCATGCTAGGGCTGGAGGAGCTATTTTTTGTTGCCCAAACTCTAAAAGTGGGTACCAGGGACAACTCCAGTACATACCACAGGTTGACCAACCATAGACCTTCAAGCATAAAGGAATGGCAAATCTATTTCAGCAGAAGCTGGGGAAAGAATCTAGTCCTCGTTTTTTTCTGTGGGCATAAAGTCTAGGTCCCTCTCATGATTTTGGCATGACTGCAACATCCAGAACCCTTAATGAAAACTTAGACTAATGTGTTAGTATCACCATGCTGGAGTGCCATCCCTCATCATTGGTTTGCTCTGTTACCCCTTGCGTTTGCTTCCTACCATTTGCTGGAAGGTCTGAGGGTAGTCGGGGCTGTGCCTTGGGTTGAGATGGAGCAACTGGAGAGCATTCTTTATGAGATCTTCTGAGTTTAAGCTGATCAGATCCAAATCCCATGCCTCAAATTCCACCCCTTTCCAGTTTACACCGCGGCTCTTGGCTCGGGGTCTGCAGCTACTTGGTGACCTCTGGTGCATTAAAGAAAAAAAAAGTTTTGCTTTGTTGCTGAGCTGCATGAATTTTCTCAAGATATAAACACAGCTCCGGGTGTTATAAATGAAAGCTCTAGTGTCAAGCTGTGCTGTTCTTTCTTTGTGAGAATCAAACATACTTAATTCCACATAATACGTGCTACTGAGATTCTCTTCCCATTCCCTGGTAGCTGTACTGCTTTAAAGTCCTCTCTTCAGAAAGCAGGGCTTTCTGAAACACAGGGCTGGCTAAGGGCTTTAGTTAACTTCCTACGTCATGAAGCAATCCATTCTGTACTTTATGTATTTCAAGTGCAAGCTCTATCTGCCATTGATCCTGAAGATAGCGCCCAAAGTACACAGCTACACAGCAAGTGATTAGGTATGTATGACCGCATCTTCTTTATTCAGTGTTATAACAGTGATTTTTTTTCCTTTTGGGACAAAATCGTAGAGATAAAAAGGATTATAAGTCAAGAAATGAGAGAAATATAGCTGTACTTTGTTATAGAGGTGTTTGAGGGTTTCTTCATGAGGGGATTTCTTTGAATTTGATACTGGAGAAATGTGGATTGGTTCATAAGTGGCTTTTGTGTTTTACTACAGTTTCAGAGCTTGGTATACACAGTACATCACTGGACCAGAGGGGTAAAGGCAAGGCAGGGAGGAACCCAAGTGTCTGTATTAGCAGGGTTCTCCAGAGGAACAGAACTGATAGGTAGGTGATTGATTCTGTCTATCTATCTATCTATCTATCTATCTATCTATCTATCTATCTATCTATCTTATCTGTCTATCTTATCTATCTATCTATCTCTTCCTATCTCTCTGTCTCTCTCTCTATTTTCCCCCTCTCTCTATTTCTCTCCGTCTCTCTGTCTCTCTGTCTCTCTCTGTCTCTTTCTCTGTCTCTCTATCTGCCTCTCTATCTCTCTCTATCATCTATGTATCTTCTATCTATCTATTATCTATTATCTATCTATCATCTATCTATCATCTATCTATGTGTCTATCATCTATCTATCATCTATCATCTATGTATCTATTATCTATCTATCTATCATCTATCTATCATCTATCATCTGTCTATCATCTATCTATCATCTATCTATGTGTCTATCTATCTATCTATCTATCTATGAATGAGAGATTTATTAGAGTGGTTTACAGTTGTGGTCCTGCTACTCCCAAGCAATTGCTATCTACCTGCAGCAACTCCAAGAATCCAGTAGTTGTCCACAAGGGCTGGGCATCTCAGCTTGTCTTCATATACTCTGGAATCCTGAAGAAGAAGGCTTTAACACTATTGATGGAATGAATTTGTTAGCCAGAGTGAGACCGAGCAGGCAAAGAGCAAGAACTACCTTCTTCTGTCTTTTATATAGGCTGCCACCAGAAGGTGTCTCACCTGGATTTAAGGTAGATCTTCCCTTGGATCTAGATTTAGGGTGGATTTTTCCACTTCAAATAATTCAGTTAAGAAAAATCCCTCTCACATGTACCTAGCCACTTGGCTTCTAGTTAATTTTAGATGTTGTCAAGTTGACCACCAAGAATAGCCATGACAACGTCAAACAGTCTACTGGATATCCTTGTTAAAGCTCCTAGCTTCCTGAGTTCTTTCCCAGAGGCCATAACTTTGGGGAAGTACATTTGTAAGTCTTAAGACACGCAAAATACGTCCGTCCATTCGAATGATCAGGAAGATGGCAGGCTCTGGGGTGGAGCCACAGATTCTTGTACAGTACTTAGTGTTACGAAAGGATCTATCTCAGGCTCCTTTTTCCTGGCCCACGGGAGCATTGGTAGCGCAGGCTTGTCACGCCGCCACAGCAGCCTTGCACCTCCATCGAGACCATCCGCACACAGCAGCTTATCTCCGGGAGCTGGGGCGCATGCGCAAGGTCGTTCTCGAGCCTGCTGATGAGGCCACCTTGAAGGAGCTGGCCGAGACCCTGCAGCAGAAGAGCATTGACCACACGCTGTGGCTCGAGCAGCCTGAGAACATTGCCACATGCATTGCCCTGAGGCCGTACTCCAAGGAAGAAGTGAGCCAGTATTTGAAGAAGTTCCGGTTGTTCAAGTGACTAATGTTCTGGGAGAACAGAATGTCAGCTGGTCTGGGGAGCCACATGGCCTCATCCTGAAGCATTGTGGATTCCTTTCAATGTTGACGTACTCATCCCTTCTAGTTATGGTGGTTTCTTATGAACCAGCACAAATTCAAATTAAAGCCCTCATTAATCAGAAAAAAAAAAAAAGACACATGTAGATAATAGTGGTGGAACTGACAATTGAGGTCCATAGAAGAGGTTACCTGCTCTGGGAAAGGGGGCCTCTGTGGTCTTGTTGCCGTCCTGTTATCCTGGGGCAGGATATTTCTATATTTTTATATAGCAAAAGCTATTTCTATATTATGGCTAATGCAGGGGCTGAGGCAAAAGTTTGTGTGATTCATTTGGTGTGCTTCTAATGTCAACTCTCCAGTATTTCTGTCTACTTCTTATTCCAGCTCTTGTCCCTGCTTCTCGGTGACTCCTTCCTTAAGCCCCCCACCTCCAAGACCCAGTCTCACTGTGTCGCTCAGGATGGTGTTAAACCACAGAGCCCAAACAGTGCTCACACCTCAGTCTCCTGAGTGGCTGGAACCACAGACATTGATCAACGTGCTGAGATAGTGTCTGTTTAAATAACAAAATGCCATTTCTTGTTGTCTAGCCTTTAAAGGAAGATTAACTCAGTCTTTAAGAAAATAAGCAACAAAATGCTGGTCAGACAAAAGCGGACCTGTGTGCACTGCCGGTCAGTGTGGAGTTTCTCAGAGAACTAAAACTCTAGCATATGACCCAGCTGCACTATTCCCAAGTATTTTCCCAAGGGACTCAGTGTCCACGTATCTCTGACATGCTTGCACATCCATGTTTCTTGCTGTACCGCATGACATTGTAGTGACTCACACACTGTGTTCCCTCCTCTCTTCCCTGATGCTGACAAGTCTCCCACTCCTGCTTTCTTGTCTCATGACTTCTTTTCTCCATCTCTTAAGATCTTTCCTCTCTTCATGCTCCTTTTCACCTTTAAATTTCTTTTTTCTTTGTTTTTAATATTTATTTATTTATTTATTTATTCATTTATTTATTTAATGTATATGAGTGTTCTATCTGCTTGTACACCTGTATGCCAGAAGATGGCATCAGAACTCATTACAAGTGGTTGTGAGCCACCATGTGGTTTCTGGGAATTGAACTCGGGACCTCTGGAAGAACAGACAGTGCTCTTAACCACTGAGCCATCTCTCCGGCCCCTACACAGTCCTTTCTTCAAACTGTACTTACTTATTTTTTAATAGCAACATCAGTATTCATTCATTGCACGTTTTGCACGCCGTGGTACACAGCTTAGCACTGAGACTCCTTTTCAATCTCAAACCACCAGGTTGCAGCTGTCAAGGGACTAGGTTTGTTTTCCCTGGACTTTTTTATGTAGATGTAGGCAGGTGTACTTAGCTACTGCTTACAAGTGTTTTTTGTTTGGTTGGTTTTGTTTTTGTTTTTCTTTTCAAAAGCAAGATTTTAAAAATTTAACAAGAAAGAGAGGTTACTTATCGTTGTGGACTGGCTCCACACGTGTGTAGCACGGCGTCCTTTGGTGTAGACTGCACGGGAATTCATCTGTTTGGCTGATAGCTCCCTGTCAGGAAGTCAGCAAATATTAAGGGCACCATACTTGATGCCTTAGTTTTAAAAATTGTTATATTTTTATTCATTGAGAATTTCACACACGTTTAGGTCTTAAGCTTCAGTGCCAATTTTGTGTCCAGCCAGAATATCACAGCTACAGGCTTGGCATTACCGTGGGTCAAAAATATTCAGAAAACAAAGTTGTACCTGTACTGAAAATGTAGTTTTGTCCCCTGAACCGAATGCCATCACAACCATCTGTCTAGCATTTTCATTGTACTAGGTAATCTAAGTTATTTAGATCATTCACTGTACACTTAATGTATACAGGAAGATACACTGCCTTCCCCTCAAATGCAAATACTATGTCACTTCTTGCAAGAAACCTGAGCATCTGTGGATTTTGATTTTTGGGGCAGAGCTGCTAACCTTAAGATAATGAACCATAAGATGACCTAGTCTACCCAGAGAAGGGCTTGCTGAATACTTGGGAGGCACACTCCTCGTGTCCCACCCTTTCATGACTCTGGAGTTGGTGGCTTTGCGGGTTCTCGGATGCCCTTGGGCTAGCGCTCTCCCTCCCTGGCCCCCCTCTGAACCTCAGGGGAGGGTGGTAGAGCTTTAGTGTTATTTTTAGGGCTGACAATTTGACTGATCACCCACTCCTTCTCAGAGAGCAGGGTGAACAGAAGCAGGCTTGGTTTACAGCACCAGGGATTAGCTGGACATCAGAGTGAACCTCTTGGCTGTGAAGACACGGAATGTCTAGTCAGATTTAAAACGAGATGCTATCTGCAACTCTCTCTGATGCATTTGAGCTTTTCTTTCCCTAATCGGCTATGTAGAGAAACAAAAAAAAAAAAAAAAAAAAAAAAAACCCCCCCCCCCTGAAAAAAAAAAACCAAGAAAACAAAATCAAACCAAACACAGCTGTTTACCTCCCTGGGCATCCACATTAGCCAGCAGGCTTCGTGCCTGCTGTAGGCAGGTGCTTTGAGAGATTCATTTCTCTCTCTGTGTGTGGGTGTCTCTGTCTCCCCATCTGCCCACCTTTCTACATTCAGGCTGTTCCATCCTCCCACGGGAGCGAGGAGGCTGAAGCCTGCTCAGCAATGAGCTCTCACACATCAACTTGTTAAATGAGAAACCCACATTTATCTGGCAGAGCTCAGGCTGCTGAAGTGGGAAGCCACGGGGGGCTGAGCTGCCTCATAAAACCCCCTTCCCATCCGTTATCCAAACACACTGGGATTAGGATGTCTATCTTATGTATCTACCCGTTTTTAAAAATTGTAAACTTATGTTTCAACATGTGTAAAACCTTTAGAATGTATTTACCTTATAGAGCATAGTAACTGTCTGTAGACTCTAAGGACCTCGGGAGAAGTCTGAGCACACTGGGGAGGGAGCCTGCAGACTCCCTGCTTCTACTACTACTCACGTTTTAGGAGCCCTCAGGCACCTGGTGAAACAAAACAGTTAGCTATACTATTTTGCTGCATGGGTTTAAAAAAAGAAAAAAAGAAAACCCTCTTTCTCCCATCCAGACTGCCAACATAGAACAGGGCTACTCCTGACTTAACCAGCTAACTATCAGATTCTCTCTCCTTTTTTGTTTTTTAGAGTTTTTTTTTTTTTTTTTTTTAAAGCAACTTGCTTGGGGTTGTATGAGTGATGAGAGTGAATACTCAGAAGCCTTTGCTACATGGTCATAAGAACTACTGTGACAGCAAAAAGTAGCCAGCTTTTCTCCCAAAAGGCAGCTTTTTGTTTATTTGTATTTGATTTTAATATATGTATTTGTATGTCAGTGTTTGGGTGTATACATGTGTGCAGGCACATATGCACATGTGTATTGAAGACCTGAGATTAACCTGTCCACAAATGTATCTTTAAAAAAAAAGATTTATTTTTTAAATTGTGTGCTTGTGGGTCTGTGTACATAAGTTCAGGTGCCCATAGAGACCAGAGGAGGGAGTGAGATCTCCCGGAGCTAAAGTTACAGGCGGTTGTGAGCTAACCAACTTGGGTGCTGGGAATCAGACTGGATTCCTCTGGAGAGCAATATGTACTTTGTAACTTCTCCAGCCCATGTGTAGCTGCTTCTCACAGCATTTCAAACATGCCCAAGAGGCAGTAAGCAGTGCATCCTCAGTGACTACCAATGTTGCTGTCTTTGTTATATCTGCTTGACGGATACTTTGCTGAGGCATTCTGAAGTAAGCCATAGACGTACCACCTCATCACCTGCTTCTGAAGATCCTGTATAACCTGAATTATGCTGTCTCTCCACTGTCTGTGAATGCTATGCACCCTCAGTGCTTAATACTATTTCCTATAAGAGGCTGTTTCCAGTCTCACGATATTGTCCATCCAGCTCCCTCTGGGTGATGACTGTCCTCTGAAATAAAGACATATAGCCACATGTCTTATTTATTGATTTACCTCTGTTTGAATTTATTCCAGACATGTAACACATCAAGCATAAAGTAGCGTAAATGAAAGAGGACAAAAATAAGGAAAGAGAAATAAGAGAAGAGACACTGGTTAGAGCCAGGATCAAGGCTAAGAATGCATACTGTGAAGAGCCATCGGCTCCCTACAGGTGGGCCTTTTGGAGCTGAATTTTCTAGTATCCAATGAGGAAGGATCAATTACACACAGCCATATGGTAAATCCAGAATGATACCCCTGAGAACAACAACTACTCTTTGAGAACAAAGAGAAACTTTTTACCTGAATGTGGATGTAAAAGGAAAGGCGTGTAATGGGGGGGTTCACCTCATAGCAGACACGGAAGCCTCACAGATGTTCTTCCGGTGACCTTTGAGAATATGACGACCCCCTGCCAAGAACAGTTGGTTGATTCTGATGTACAGGGTGGGGGTGGGGGCTCTAAGGTACTGTCTAGCACATGGCTATTGCTGTTGCCCTCTGTGCTACTGCATGCTTTCAGAGTTTATGGATCTGGACGTGGGCAGACTAGACAAGTTTCTTGGTTTCTGATGTTACTTGCTTTCTCTGTCTTAACCAAATACAACTGACTTTTACCACCATGATGTTTCTCTCTGCTGCTGTCAAACACCTCAGAAACCCTGCTTTTCCTTTCATTTCTTTCAGTCTCTGCTGGTAATTCCTTCCATCCCATCCCTAGGTTTGATAGGTTCTTCTCATATGAACAACTGCTGTGTCAGCGGATTTCAACCTGTGGGTTGTGATCCCTTTGACTAACCTCTATCTCCAAAAATTACCTTACATTTCATAACAGCCAAATTACAGTTATGAAATAGCAATGAAAATAATTTTATGGTTGGGGGTGTCATCGCAACACGGAGAACTGTATTAAAGGGTTGCAGCCTTAGGAAGGTTGAGAACTGCTGTGCTAGGCAAAGGAGGTTAGCCTCCTG